TTTTAAATCGGATAAAAATTATGACCTCTAGAGAGTCCACAAGCTAAAAACGTGATTTTTCGTACAATCAGGGGCCATAATTCAGAAGGTTACGGTCCGATATGCGCGAATATCGAAAGGACCTGAGATCTTTGGGTTATAAACTTACTTTTCAAGTTTCAACAAAATCAGATAAAAATTGTGACCTCTATAGGGTCTACAACCTTGATATACCATATTTTTACGTTATTTGAGAATGAAGGGCGGCCATTTTGTCTGTCAATTTCACAAAATTCGAAGTCAGTCGTCCTTAGGGTGTAATAATACGATTTTTTAAATCGGATAAAAATTATGACCTCTAGAGAGTCCACAAGCTAAAAACGTGATTTTTCGTACAATCAGGGGCCATAATTCAGGAAGTTACGGTCCGATATGCGCGAATATCGAAAGGACCTGAGATCTTTGGGTTATAACCTTACATTTCAAGTTTCAACAAAATCGGATAAAAATTGTGACCTCTATAGGGTCCACAACCTTGATATACCATATTTTTTACGCTATTTGAGAACGAACGGCGGCCATTTTGTCAGTCAGGTTTGGGCCGATTTTCACGAAATTCGAACTCAGCCATCCTTAGCGTTTAACGGTGATATAATAAACGTTTTTTTAAATCAGATAAAAATTATGACCTCTATAGGGTCCACAAGCTAAAAACGCGATTTTTCGTACAATCAGGGGTCATAATTCAGGAAGTTACGGTCTGATATGCGCGAATATTGTAAGGAACAGAGATCTTTGTGTTATAAACTTACATTTCAATTTTGAACAAAATTGAATAAAAATTGTGACCTCTATAGGGTCCACAACAGGGCTTCCACTTCAAAATTGTCACTACCGGTCATTTTTGATAACGCACGAAAACTTTTCAAAGTAAATTCATATTTCATGCTTTTTTATTCATGGTATGGTATTGTGAATTCACGTGTCTATACCACTTTGTCACCATGATTTGGGAAGTGGTACACAAAAAAAAATATATTTGACTTAAAAATGAAATATTAGTAAGGCTTATGATAATTATTTATTAATTAATTAAATATTCCATTTTGGCTACTTAAATAACGAAATAGTTGCATTGGCCATAGAAAAACCATTTCAGTAGCTCACACATAATTACCACGTGCTCCATAGTAAATACACTGACCTGGATAATTTTGAGTTGTAACACAATAACTTCAATATGAAGATGAAATGAAATGAAATGAAATGGAGTTTAACGTTCTCCTGTTCTGCTCCTAACCTGGGCTAATGAAGACAGGCATATGCCATACAGTGTGCTATGAGGGAAATTTTGCCCGGACAGCGGCACTACGGCTTACTCTTATATCGAATTCCAACTGCCAAGGGATCATTTACGTGCACGCCAATGTGTACACGGGACCTCCAGCTTTCCTTGTCAGCCCCTCCGTCCTGCATCACTGACAAGGGAGAACCACGCTGGAAAATCTGGATGAACTTTCTCGGCCAATGCAGGGATCGAACACCCGACCTCCAGGCTAGCGAGCTAGCGAGCTAGCCACGTGATCCCCCGATATGAAGAAAAATATATAATTATCCACGGCATATATCTCACATTTATTGGTTTTAAGATAATCTCTTACGGAATTACGGGTCGCAGAATTGTGACGTAAATCCTAATAATGTATAACTAAATGACTAACGGATAACTAACTTCCCAGCTAACGACACTAGCGCCCCCTAGAATATCGTTGTGTGTAAGAGTAACCGTATATACACGACATATTTTCTACACGTGGAATTATCAATATCGCTGCACAATAGAACTGGAATACGTAATTTTCTTAATTTTTTGGTAAGCAAGTTAACTATTCTCTAGATTTTATTTCTACAATTTCCACAAGGCCATAATACCGCTATAAAAATTTATAAATGCATTTTTCTCCCAACACGTACATGTACGTTCTTGAGGACTTCCGTAATTTCTATGCTGTTTTTATTTTATATGACAGTTGGTTGGATGCGAAGAGCAGTATTTTATATCAATTGCCTTTTTTCGAAGCTCATAATAACCTCGTTTACATCGTGCCTGACCGTAATAGCGGTAAACGGCTTTGATGTTGAAAATCCTTCTGACACGTGGACAATACGTGAATGATTAACAATGGACCGCTTCACGCCGTTGATTAGATTCCCACTTATCAATTAACTGTTATTGTTCTCTACCAGACACTCATCATTAATTATCAACACAACACTCAGTATAATCTGTTGACGACTATTGTATTTATACAACTCTATAACACCAATCACGAGATTGACTTCTATACCTGTGCATTCTTGTATAGTTACATAGTGGAGGTCGATCGTAGCCATGTTTGAAAATTGGGTTTTGGAAAAAAAGACTCTCTTTCCGGTGTGCAAAATGACCGTTAGGTCAGATCTAGGAACGGTCATTTTCCATAGCCGTAGGTCTCAACCAGCATATACGGCCGACGTGGAACCCATGGTCCACAACCTTGATATACCATATTTTTACGCTATTTGAGAACGAATGGCGGCCATTTTGTCTGTCAGTTTTGGTCCGATTTTCACGAAATTCGAACTCAGTCGTCCTTGGGGTGTAACGGTGATATAATAATACGGTTTTTTAAATCGGATAAAAATTATGACCTCTATAGGGTCCACAAGCTAAAAACGCGATTTTTTGTACAATCAGGGGCCATAATTCAGGAAGTTACGTTCTGATATGTGCGAATATCGAAAAGAACCAAGATCTTTGGGTTATAAGCATACATTTCAGGTTTAAACCAAATCAGATAAAAATTGTGACCTCTACAGTGTTCACAAGCTAAAAACGTGATTTTTCGTACAATCAGGGGCCATAATCCATGAAGTTACAGTCCGATACATGCCAATATCGAAAGGAACCGAGATCTTAGGCTGATAAACCTATATTTCAAGTTTTGTTGAAATCAGATAAAAATTGTGACCTGTAGACTGTTCACAAACAATTGTGGACGGACGGACGGACAGGGGCGACGACAATATACGTCCACATGAAAATGTGGGCGTATAAAAATAGTCATCTGCTAGTGCTATTTTTAAACAATAACGGTGCTGTAGGCTAGTTTAACCAGTCATGCTAGTTACATCGCACTGATGTGACCAGTTAAAAAGAGTCTAAATATCAGATAACTCTATATAGTAATATATTTCGTCGAAAACAAACGTTATATTTAGATGTCTATGATACGAGGTCTGTTTGACGCGAGTCAAAATAATTTATTCAATTTATGAGGTTAAAAGCAACAAATAAAAACGCTTTTACCAATTAAGATTATCTTTCTTTACAATATTGGTGCCGCCCGTTAATTGTAGTAGTAGTCACATCCCTGATGTGTCGAGTAATCTCCCTTTAATGATCAAAATATTGTCATACGAATCATATTAGATTTAAATATTGTCATTGTAAAAGGTGACAAATCACATACAATAACAACATAATAAACTATCATAACATGAGAATACTCTGAGCAGAGACAATTAATTCTCAACAGTACTTATGTAAACTGATTTCATTTATTTATTCCAAAACAAGTTATGATTTCGATGACTGAAAGTGACAATTGACACAATTTGCAACTAGATCTGCTAAGCAGATATTAAAGCTTTCATATTCACAGTCACTGTCACATGTCATAGAAATAATATGAACAGAAAAAAAAAATCATTATAATGAGTAAAAATTTGGTGAAGTTAATTCGATTTTTCACTGGTAAATAATTAAATAGACAAGTGGCATAACTTGACCCGCATCCCATCAGCTATCCTGAAAAATGCTGGAAAAATTAAACAAGTAAATTGTGTTTAGTACTGGGTTAATTAAGACAGGCATATGCCTTTGCTATACAGGATGACATGAGGGAAATTTAGCTTGGGAGGTGTAGGCCTGCAGCCAAAATTTCTAGCTAGCTTAGAAACACAACTCCGCTACACGGTCTTCCATAAAAGAAAAACTATACATTTTTGGAAAGCTTATGATGCCAGGAAGACAAAATCTGGGAGTTCCAAGCAAAATGTTTGCAATTTATTGATTTAGGGCCAGATGAAATTCGTCAAAATTGTCAAATAAATGCTATTTGTGTACTAACAATTCTGAAGTTGACATAAAATTAAATAGTTGGTAAAACACCTCATGCCTTCATCCTTGGCAATGAACAGTTTATTGGACAGATTTTGATGTAAATAAAAATGCTCAAAACACAAATGTCATGGGTGAATAAAGAATTGTGGAAATCCATTAACGGTAAAAAAGAATTATCTCCCTTTCTGTCAAATGCCTGTAATTGATAGACTATCAGGTCTTGTATGAATCATAAGACCAGGTGTGGGCAAACAAGCCCAATAATTATTGTGTTTGTTGGATCTCAAGGGCCTGTTAGGGTTGGTTGTTGGATGTTTGCTCAGAAATTATCGCTTGTATGGAACATGCTAGAGTCGATTTGTAGCATATTCTAGCCAGGGGATATGTTTGACAGTAGTTGAGTGATATGCTTTTGAAATAATGGAGATCAGTAGCACTTTATAAGCATTGAACCACATGATTTTTTTCCACTAAGATAAACATTCTAAACCCACATACATGTTCCCTTTCAATTAGCCACTACAGTATTTTTACAACTGTACATGTAGCTGTGAACTACTATTTCGGATATGATTAATGGTCAAATTACAAACATACATGTAGATATAAGTTAAAAAAAATAATTGTGTATCTGGGCTGGAATGAAGGAAAAGGTTAGAAAACAGGATGAACAGTTGTGAAATTATTTATTAAAGTGAAACAATCATTGAAAATCAAAATTAAACAGTTACTCTGCACATCAAATGTCATCAAAGTTAATCTTCATTATCATCATCACTGTCACTAAATGTATTAACATCAAATTCGGTCTCTTTAACAGTTTTTTTTTTCATTTTCACATTGACTACTATCGTGTTATGTCCAAATCTGAAAGAATTAATGAAAATTCTGAAAAAAATCCAGCTTATAAACTTCAGACAGATTTAGGTTATATCATTAAACGAACAAGATCTAAACCAGCTGTAATTCGCTATGCCAGATTCTCAATAACAAAAGAACCAGAAAAATATTATCTTAGTAGTTTACAGCTATTTTTACCACATCGTATAGATAAACAATTAAAACCAATAGGATTTGAGACATATGAAACATTTTACAAATCTGGTTCAGTCAAAATAAGTAAACAAATTGAAGATGTTAAAGATATTGTTGATAATAATCGTAGCTTATTCGAAAAAGATAAAATAAATATTGATGCTGCGACTGACATAATAGAAAAATGTGGAGCAAACTTAAAAGATGCTTGGTCATCATTGGATATAGAAAATCAAGTGGATAATCTTCAGTGTCTTGACATACCAGATGAGAATATACACGATGGCGTTGAGGAAATTGAAATACCAGATTTGATAGGGATCAGAAAAGACAACAAAAATCACGAAAAGGAATCATATAATACTATTGTAAGTAGAACAGAAGCTATACCCATGTTAAGATCACTGAACAAATTACAAATGGATGTATTTTATAAAGTAAGAGAATTTTGTTTGAACAAGATACATAGGAAAAATGCAGAACAATTTATGTTATTTTTGTCTGGAGGAGCTGGGACTGGAAAAAGCTATGTCATTAAGAGTATATACTATGAAGCTAATAGATTATTATCTCAAATAACAGATAATCCAGATGAACAGACAGTTCTCATGGTCTGTCCGACCGGCGTATCAGCTATGAATCTAGGATGCAGTACAATTCATAATTCTTTGAAGATCCGAACTGATATAAAGTTACCCTATGTTGGACTAGGTTTAGACAAGATAAATAGTTTAAGAGCTGATTTAGGTCATTTACAAATACTTATTATAGATGAGATTTCTATGGTGAGCCCAAAGTTATTATGTTATATCCATGGAAGGCTTCGACAAATAAAACAGTGTGCTGACTTTACACCTTTTGGAAATGTTTGTATAATAGCTGTAGGAGATTTCTATCAATTACCACCTGTAAAAGCAAAACCACTATATAGAAATACTGATGACCTTACCAATTTGTGGCAAAATAATTTTAAAATTGTCGAATTAAAAGACATAATGAGACAAAAAGATGATTTGACTTTTGCACAAGCTTTGAATAGAATAAGAACAAAGCAGAAGGGTGAATCTCTCAGTCCAAAAGATGTTGATCTGTTAAAAAGTCGCGAGATTGAAGACTATGATGAAAATGTTCTACATATATTTGCTACTAATGCTCTGGTAGATGAACATAACACTAAGATGCTGAGGAAGCTATGCGACAGACTAATTCGTATTGATGCAAATGACTTCTCAAAGGATGAAAGAACAGGTAAAATGATTAAGATAAATACAATAACTTCAAAAGATGTAGATACCTGTTTAAGTAATGTAATAAATATTGCTGAAAGTGCAAGAGTCCTACTAACAAAAAACCTGGATGTATCAGATGGATTATGCAATGATGTATTTGGTTATATTCGTCATATTGCCTTTGATAAAGATGAAAATGTAAAACTAATTTATGTGGAATTTGATAATAAAAGAGTTGGAGCTAAAATTCGAAAAAACACAGTTTTACCAGAAAATGTACCAAATAATTGTATTCCAATTGGCAGACAAGAGGAGAAAAATTACTGCAATGATATAAGACGTCAATTTCCATTGAAACTGGCATATAGCTGTTCTATTCATAAAACTCAAGGCCTCTCCCTTTCAAACGCTGTTGTTTCATTAAAAAAAGTTTTTGCACCAGGTCAAAGTTATGTGGCGTTGTCTCGAGTTACATCTTTGAATGGGCTTGTTGTTAAAGATTTTAATGAGAAACTTATATATTGTGATAAGACTATAACCAATTCATTGAATGAAATGCCCCTCTACATTGAACCTAGTACTGAAGAACGTTCAAAAACTGTGCTAATTCTCCATAATATACAAGGTTTAAACTCTCACTTTGAAGATTTAAAAAATGACTATAGATTTACTGAGTCTGATTATATATGTTTAACTGAAACCTGGCTAAATGAGGTTGGAGGTAGAAATTTTGAACTTAATGATTTTAGTTTACACAGTAAATCAAGACAGGCATCTTATGATAATTCTCATACGTTTACAGAATTAAGAAACACACTCCATGGTGGTGTAGGCTTATATTACAGAAAGAATAGAATGTGTCATTTATATAATTTAGGTGTATTTAATATTGAGCATATTGCATTTGGTTTACCAGACATAAATTTAACTATAGTTGTCATATACAGGCCACCATGTTATAAAACTGATTTATTTATTACATATTTACAGAAATTATTAGATGAACTTGATGATTTTGGAGGTAGTGTTATGATAATGGGTGATTTTAATGAAGACATTTTAAAAGGTAAAGCTGCAATACAACAATGTATGGAGAAGAATTTTTATAAGCAGTGTGTCACAGAAATTACAACTGATGGTAATACTATTTTAGATCTTATTTTTGTGAAGAATTTTAATGTAAGTAATTTAAAGTTAAGAATATTACAGACATATTTTAGTTATCATAATGCCATTTCCATTGGAATAAGTTAAATAAATGAAATTGATTAAGACAAAGTTAGATGATACTTATTAAAGATGCATTATGAAAGAGCTAAATGTGCCAGGTCGTGTCAAATGTTATAAATAATTAGGATTTTATTCACATGACAAGCTCATGTTCAATTCGCTTGAACATCAAATGATTGTGCTTTTGAATAGATTGAAACAGAATTACATTTAAAAATTTAATTTAGAAATGGAAAATCAAGACTTTAAAGCAATGGCAGTAGCAATGAAAATATATAATCCGGTAAACTAGTCAGTCGAAGGATTACAAGTTTATGTTTTAAAAATTACCAACAAAAATATTGTAAAAATAATTTTATTTTTTCTTTTTAATTTTTTTTCAGTGAACCTGCACATGTCGATATTTCCATTTACCAGGTGCTAAATGATTAAGATACTAATTACACAATACATTAAATATTTACCAATAGCTAAAGTAATAAGATACAACTACATTTAACTTCATGTTGTATTAAGATTTTCATCTGTGTAAATATTTGAACATACAGTTTTTTTATATTGATATATTCTAATGATTTGTTATCGAAGTGGGGTGAGAATGTTGGGGGGTGGGTACAAATTATTTTTATCTAATGTACAGATAATAACACCTTGTATTACAATGTATGTTTTTCACATTGTTGGTCACTTTAAACAAGAATAGTGATGCGTCCAAATGCTTTATTGAAAGTGGTTGGGGTGATGTAAATGATAAAAATTAATGTTATGAAATGTACAGATATCCACAAATCTTGAATTAGTGCGATTGCTTTTATTTAGGACAAATTTGTGTCTAGTAGGATAACATTGTTGATAAATTTTGACAAAGAAATTATAACTTGTCCATTACATTTGCAAATTGACAAATTTATTTAACAATTTGTGCTAGTTTTCATACATTTACATTTGTATATATACTATAATTGGTAAACAGACCTGCACATCAAACTTCTACGCTATATAAAAATGTACAATGATTATATTTCAATCCAAATGCCCTAACATTTTTTGATTTGTGGATACCTCAAATTTTATTTCAATTTTATAAATGTATGTTATAATTTTGTGTTGATATACCATAATAGTTACTGCAAATAATGCAGTGTAAAATTGTACTTTCCATGTTGATTTTTACTAGTGAACTTGGGATAGTCAATATACACAATAGTTAAAATATCATCTAAACATTTAGCTGCATGTTGTATTTAGATTTTCATCTGTGTAAATATTAAAATATTCTGTATTGTGAAACAGTTTTTCTACATTGATATATCCAAGAACCTAGTAATTTGTTATTGGATGTGGGTGCAATAATTATATTTATCAAATGTACAGATATCTACACATCTTGAATTTCTTTGTTTGCTTTTCACATTGTTGGTCACTTGACAAAAACACAAATTATAAATTATCTATTAAAATTGATAATTAATAAATTTATTGGCAATACGAGTAATATTGGGATAGCTTTGTTTTCAATTGTGGAAGTATTTTTATTCTATAACTACATGCAAATACAAGCAAATATCATTGAATACAGCCATTGAATAACCTATGGTTGTATTCAATGGCTTGAAAACGTACTACTTTTGCCCAGAATGACATCACTTTCATAATTACGTCAAACCGTAATGACATCACCACTAGCAACAACAATTTTTGTAAAAAGGAAAGAAAATAGAGCGGAACCTGTGATGAATTTTAACGTTATTGATGATGATTTTTTTGATAATCTGAATAGTACAGTGTATTTTGAGATTTGCATTTAGTTGTAGAATAAAAACAGAACTCAATGACCATTGAATACCGCTCGGGTTATTCAATGGTTCACTCGAGTGTATCCCTGCCGAATTCCACTCACTATCGCTCATGGAATACTTGCGCAGGGATACACTCTCTTGAACCATTGAATAGCCAAGCAATATTCAATGGTCATTGAGTTCTATCTATATACATTTGTACAGATATATTTGTATCCATAGATATATATTTGTATCAATACATTTAATTTTGTTGTTTGAAATAAGGGGAGGGGGTGAATGGTTAGTATGTGCGCGCTGTATCATAAGGTCTGCCATTTAGTGAACTGGTGTGGTTTCAAATCCCCAGTTGTACGTGGCAAGGAGTAGGGTAGCACGTTCATCCTTCGAGGGTTTTCTCTGCGAACTCCAGTTTCCTTCCATTGCTAATGACCCATACGCACAAGCAAATTATTGAAATAAAATTGGACCATGTGTTAATGCCAAAATACCTAGTTTCTGTCGAGTGGACTTAAACCCCATTTTTCTCCGTCTTCTGATTGAAATATGAATACCACATCATTTATTGTCATTTTATATATTTATTATGTAATAATGATTTTTCTCTGTGTTAATTTTTCTTTGTGTGGATACACTATAATACAACAGCTGGCTGAAAAGTTCTAGATCTGAAGAGGAGAGATTTAATTGGCTTTTACCACCACAAGTAGAATCATTGAATGAATCATACACATAAGACCTGCAGCTGAAGTGTTATTATTGTATTTGTACCAGACAATCTTGTGAACCTACCCATTGAAATCACCAAAAATGGACAGAACTATCTATATGGCAGTCATCAAGTATCTGCAACTGAAAGTCCTAACCCAAACATTGAAATATGTGGATACGGTCTCCACTATAGGAGACAATGGCCCTTCCTTTTCTGCACTAAAGAAGTGGTTGCAGGAGGTACTTGATCCAGTGACATCCAGTGACAATCTGTGCTGTTTTCAATATTTCCTAAAAAAAATTTAGCCAGATTTTTAAACATAGAGGAGACCTGGATTCATCAGTTTCAACCAGAATGCAAAATTCAATAAAAACAATGGAAGCATCCAGACTCGCAAGTCCCCAATCAAGCCAGGTCAGTTCTTTCGACTGGACAGGTGATGGGTTCACTCGTTTATGATTCCTAAACTATTCTGCTGATTGACTACCTTAAAAACAGCCAGACTATCAATAGAAGTATTATAAAGGTGTTCTATTCAGACAATACTTCTGTTCATAAATGGCTGATATCATTTTCCCTCTATGATTACGTCATGTCAGCTGTGATCAATTTTTTAAGGGTAACTGAAGATAATTTCTTCCTGGCAGACATCAAGGCCATGCAACATCATTAACTAAAGAGTGAGAGTGTACACTTCAAAAGTGACTACATAGAAAAATAAATGGAAACAATGGACTTTATACAATTCTATACAGTTCTTTCACAGATGGGTTTAGAATTTTTCAGCCAGCTCTCAATAGTTATTGAAATTGAATTATTTGTTTTGGTTTGATACATGATATTATAATTATTCTTACATTGTTTGTATTCTATTTTAATAATGAACATTAAAACATGCTAATATTTGTTCATCCTTGCTGTATTGGGTTGGATGGCCGAATGGTTAGTGTGTGCATGCTGTATCATACGGCCTGCCATTAAGTCAACTGGCGTGGTCTCGAATCCCTGGTTGTACGTGGCAAGGAGTAGGGTCACCTGTCCATACTCCTGATTTTCTCCGGGTACTCTGGTTTCCCCCCACTGCTAAAGACCCCTACGCGCAAGCAAATTATTGAAATAAAATTAAACCATATGTTAGTCCCGAAATGACCTTGTTTGTGTTGAGTGGACGTTAAACCCATTTCTCTCTAATTATGTTTTGCATACAATGTATAAATACAAATGTAAAGGATGTAACTTTAAAATAGAAGAAAATCAAATATTTTTAATATTAAACAATTGCTTTGTTCTTATACTTCTACAATCATTCTCATGTTGTTCATTTTGCCATATTTTTGTTTATTCATTCATATGTCTTCTATATAATGATGCATAGTATAGTACACTATGTTAAAAAAATACTAGAAATGTATGTTTCTTTATCACCAAATGATTTATGTAAGTTGTTAAGTAAAACAGTTGAACATTAAATCCCATTTCAATTTATTTGCATGAGGTGAAGAGAAATAATGGTATTGAACAATTGACTATTCATGAAAGATACTAAAGAGAACTTTATTAATTTATATACATACTTTTGCTAATTTTATTGTTATATACTATTCAAAAAAAGTAGGGGATATTTGATTTTGGGGGCATAATACTAAAATATGCAAATGACTACGAAAAAGGCACTATAGAACCTAACAGAAGAAACATTTCCAGTTACATGTGACGCCCAAACGCACCAATAGCTACCGCATGGAATGCAGGTGATGCTTGGGATCATCATGGGGGTCCAACCCAAGATTTGCACGACTCTGACTTTGAATGTTACAATCATTGTGGCATTAAATTCCAGGGTGGAAACATCAGTTTAATTGTTTTAGTGACCAGAAAACAAATGCGTCGGCTTACCCAAAATGAAAGGTTACGTGCCCTTGGCATGCTACAGATTGGCACAACACAGGCGGTTGTGGCGCGGACGATGAATGTTTCTCAGTCTGTCATAAGCAGGCTATGGTCCAGATACCGTGATACACAATCTGTACAGGACAGACCACGCTCAGGTCGACCAAGGGCGACAACTCAAGCCCAGGATCGATTTATCCGTACCTTGGCCTTGAGAAATCATGTCATCACAGCAAATCAGATCAGCGCTCGTCTTCAAACAGACACTGGTGTGAGAGTGAGTGGCCAGACGATTCGGAATCGACTGCATAGGGGTCACCTTCGCGCCCGACGTCCTCGCGTGATCCCTTGTTTGAGAGATCATCACATTCAGGCAAGACGTCGTTGGTGTAGGGATCGTCAACACTGGAATAATCGACGCTGGAGCAATGTGATGTTTTCAGATGAGTCAAGGTTCACTGTTGATTTTTTGGACAGACGTAGGAGGGTGTGGCGTCGTCGAAACGAGCGCTTCCAAGACGTTAACGTCATCAGACATGATCGATTTGAGGGTGGTTCTGTTATGGTGTGGGGAGGCATCACTGTTGCTGGAAGAACGGCTTTACATGTTGTTGCAGGGCGTGTTACAGGCCAGTACTACCGGGACAACATCTTGGCAGTCCATGTTGTGCCGTTCGCACGACGTCATGGCCGCCGTTTCATCTTCCAGGATGACAACGCAAGATGTCACAGGGCCAGGATCGTTACAGGTTACCTCCAACAACAGAACATCACCACATTACCTTGGCATGCACTGAGTCCCGACCTCTCCCCCATCGAGCATGTCTGGGACATGCTTGGACAGAGGTTACGTCAACATCAACAACGTCCTGCCAATGTCCAAGAACTTGCTGCTGCGTTGCAACAGGAATGGGACAATCTGGACCAAAATGACCTTAGACGTCTCATTAGGAGTATGCCACGTCGGATCAATGCTTGTTTGGCAAACAGAGGAGGATTTACCCGTTACTGACTTGGTTGTGATGCTGTGGTAACTTTGCTGTTTGACCCCGGGTATCATTTTACCCTTATAATGGTCAGTCTGTGCCTTACTTAGTCTAACGATCATTTGGAATAAATCGATGAATGTGAACTTCATTTCATTTTGTCATTTGTTTCTTTGTCAGTTTCATTAGGTGACTTTAATAACACTTAAAAATCAAATATCCCCTACTTTTTTTGAATAGTATATCTTGGTAGTAACATACCAATATAAATAGTAATATTGTTTCTAGATGAAGACTATTATAATTGAAATGAAATGGGATTTCACATCATAATGCTATGCACGGACTGGGCTAATAATGACAAAAAACTACAATGAATACAATAGTATAAAATGTTGCTATGAAATTAAATAAATGTTGTATACAATAATTAACCGGTTTAATACTATATTATACATAAAAGTGAATGAAATTCAATGTTTACTATTTTGCTTTATACATGAATATCACAGGTCAAATTATTGAAATAAATAATGCAAATAGATTATGATTTGAAACATCTTGTATGTCATTGTTCTATTTGTTATATAAGACTACATGATATAAACTTTTTGATAAGCCTCTTTTATCATATTTTGAACCAATGGAATAAAGAGCAAAGACCTAGAATATATTGTAAATATAATCAGGTTTTTGATCAACTGATCAAAGGAAAATATTGCGAATAAATTTGTTGTACTGCTATTGTAAAGAAATCATCATTGTTTTATTTGATATTTAGAATACACATAATCGTGTATATATTTGAAGTTAAGAGCAATTATGATTAGTGATACCTGTATGACCAACTCTCAAAAGATAATCTCATTAAACCAAGTCCTTTTTTTCATTTGTATTAGTTGATTTATACTGAATAAAGATAACACAAACAAACAAAAATGAGTTGGCTGTGTGAACACCTCAATGACAAGTGGTATCAGATGCCTCAGAGAGAATATTCAAATGCTCCTTGTGATACGTTTGTAACACAATTATAACCTAATGTATTACACGGGAGTGGAGTGGGTGGGTCGGGGGGCTTTTCGATTGGCAGGGGACTATTAAAATGGGTAAGCAGAGATAAGCAATTTGATGAAACTTTGTGTATAGTTTCATTACATTAGTACCTTGACCATATTACCTTGACCAAGTTCGACAATGAGCATTCTCTTAGTCAGGATAAGCAAAGCAACTTGATTGGCCGGGACTTTGAATTGGTTGATGCTTTGGGGTATGATAACTTTGGTTATAATGAAGTACTGGAACATAACCCAGCTTTTAATTGAGCTAGAATGTTTAAACTTGGTGTAGATGTTCATCAGGTCTTGACTGAACATTTTGAGCTACAGCTTGGCAATTTCATTGGTCGATGCTTTGGGACAAGATGACCTTGATTTCTATCTGACAGAGAGTGATGAAATTTACAGTATAGTTTGATTGCTCGATACTTTTGAAAAAAATATGAAAGTGCGATTAATTAATGTGTCATCTTTTACTTTGGGGTTTTGGCGGGAGACATCAGCCATACTGTTTGCTTGTTTAATATCCCCTATACAATATACGCTCGACCTCATTACCCGAACTGGGGTAGAAAAGTGGGATCTTTGACAATGAGGCAATGAACTTGTACATTCTTTTGCAGCTGCACAAGAGGGAACATCAACGCCGGATTAACCATGGTGGTGGGGAGGGGGGCTGATACCGACCGTGAAGCCCCGCAAGGGGGTCGGGTCAGGGGGTTCTCCCGCTAAGAAATTTTAATTGGAGGCCGAAAACGTGATTTCATGGCATTTCAGGCACTTGTGTCGGAGCCATTTAGTAGTACCTCCCCCAGAAAAATAAAATTCTGCCACAAAATTAGCCACAATCCATGCGGGTGCTGTGAAATTTCTAGAGGAGGGAGCTGGAACCCATGAGCCCGTTAAATTCGCCACTGTAAATGAGCAGAGCTACATCAAACCTAATTTTGAGTCCCTCAGTGATAAATAACTTGATTCAAAATCGTATTATAGCCCCAACGACGATTTGATGAATGGAGACCGTAACGTTACGACAAAGTCTAACACTGTAAGTACCAAATAGTCATACGAGATATGTGCATCTCATCAAATTCAGCTTATACCATACCCACAATAATGTTACGGAGTCAGTGAGTTCAAGTTAGACAATACGCTGACCTTCCACTGACCATGCTTATAATATAAAATCTGTCAATGACAGCTGATTCATTGTTTAGTTTTTTATATGATATATTTAATATCAATAATATATGTATATGCATGCTTTATTTTACTTTACACGACCTCTAAAAATGCCCCAAATCGTAAAAATACGACTTTTTGGATTTCGATCTCCTTTTTTCGGCTACCCCGGACATTTTCAAAAAATGATACAATGATTTCACACAACAGGCCAGCTATTAGCCTCTCGATTGACAAGAGTTTCATCGCCCTCCATTCATTATAACCAATGTCATCGTGCCCTAAAGAATCAACAAATCAGCTTGCTTATCTCTGCTTACCCTAGGCAAAAAATGCTCATCTTTGAACTCAATCATGACATTGACCTAGTGAACGCCTACACCAAGTTTGAACATTCTAGCTTAATTAGAAGGAGAGTTCTTGTGTTCCAAAGTCCCGGCCCTTCAAATTGCTTCTATTTTTCATTTTCAATTCAAAATGGTGACCATCACGTGACCGAAATCAAAATTCTGATCCGATAGATTTTTAGGCATTCCTTCCAGGATTTCGAAAATATGACGCCCGAGTCTGTAAGTAAAATAGCAAAAAAGCCTTTTTGATTTTTCACGTTTAAAGATAGTGGCACTTCCGGTTCGATTGACAAACTCCATATTTTGTGTACGAATCAGTAATTACTTGTCTAGTATCGAATTTTTTTTTTAGGTCATTCTGACCTATATTTCGACGATTTTTTTGAAAACTTTGATCCTTAATTTCACCAAGGGGAGATAATTTAGAAAATTTCCAAGGACATCATTGAAGTCGCATTGGCAAGATCTACTAACATTCTAAATTTCACGAAAATCGCACAACTATTAAAGAAGTTGTCAAATTGGTAATAACTTCCGGTTCGAAATGACAGCGACGAATTTTCGAAATGCCAAAATCCGAAATTGCAGATTTGAAGTAAATATTTCAAGATACTCAAAGAAAAAAGAATTAGTAAAATAGGTCAAATAGTCACAAAGTTACAGCATTGTAGGTCAAATGCATTCCTTCGTAAAATTCGGTGATTTCGGATTCGTAAAACGTTTTGAAAATATATTTAATCAACAGCCACCACCCATTTTTGGGGGGATAGGTAAAAGTTTCAGAACGATCCTATGGTTAGATTCTGAGAAATCCGATTTGTGGACAAAACACAAAAAAAAAATAACAATAATAATCTTAACAGAAACAATAAGCTTTCATATGTAATATGAAAGCTTAATTAGAAATAAATATATATAGCTATAATATTGGATTGTTTATTGCTCTATATATATCATAATATGTTTTATGCATATAATTACTGTTTTAATAAACTATTAATTATAATCAATCACTAATTACAATACATTACAACGAATTGCAACGAAAGTATACATTAGTTTCTTGTCAACAAAAATCACATACACGAATTATCTCTCATGAACCTCCGATTTGGGCACAAAGCAGTGAGGCTTCTTAAACTCAACTAAATTGTTATTTTGTGTTTCCACAGTCAACATTTTTGGAGTTCCTGGGTGTTGTTTTGGAGTTATTGGGTAATTCGACGCGCCCTATGTTACCATAATCATGATGCATATATTTGAAATGAATTCTGGTGGTCTTTCAAATAAATACACTTACAGTGCCTTCATCTGGCATGTGGAGAGATTAAAATAGTAATTCGTTATATTATAATGTATTATGCATTTAAAATAAATTACTTTTGTGGGAGGAATCAGGGGTTATTCGAAGTGAATTCCGGTGATTATATGTGAATTCCGGTGATTGTAAATGAATTCCGGTGATTAGTCGGGCCCACGTGAATTAAATATGGAAAATTTTCCGAACAGTGTACCTGTTTGTCCTTATATTTGTGGTAATTACATACCTGTAGAATACAATATTCCTCGTAACAAATTACCAAGAATTATTTTTGTTGAAGTCTGGTTATATTAAAGGGAAGGGAAGATTAAAATTTTAAAATCCAGTTTCTACCGGAATCCTCATTTGACCCAATCCTGGCCGATTCGTTTCAAAATGGATTAAGAACCCTGGTAATATACCGGAGTACCTCACACACCTTAATTGATAAGTCAATAAACTTTATTAAGTAGTTTCAGGGACCTTATAATACATCACAAGGTCCATGGTAGTTTGTACTTTTTTGCATTATATGAACAGGTAAGTGGATGACCTATAATCTAACTTTAGTACTGTAAAAACTCAATTTATTTTAATGCAGATGACAAGTGATAAATAAACTCAATAACACATTTTAGTCTATCAAATGGAAGCAGTAATATTTTCATTTCATTTTCCACATGTGGTCTAAGGGGAGATAACAGGTAATCAGAAGAGTTATCTGCCCTTTATTGAATACAAGATTTAACTTACCCCTCTGCCTTTTAATTCATCCTCTATTTTCCACGAGTTAACAGGGTCTTTTATAAATTCTATTGTTTTATCATAGTTTAAATAAAAATCTTCTGGATCCTAATAAGAACACAAATAAAATATCAATAAACAATTTCATGATACACATATTTTTAAACTTTTTTAATATTAAAATAAATTAGGCAATAAATAAACATTGGAATCTAACTTATTCCATCTGGCAATAACAATTTTAGGTAAAATATTAGGCAAGTTGAAAGTGGTTCCTGACATTTTTCAGTTTTGTGCCAGGCATATCAAAATAACTAAGAAAACCCTATAGAATAAGATTTGTGTCAGTGAAGGGTGAGTTATTTCTAAGCTTAGTTATATTCACTATAAAATGACCTCTGTATAATAATCTATTAATTTCTTGTCGGCATATAGATATATATGTATTTACCTTATCACATTGTTTTAATAGATCACCTATTATAGTTCTACCCATTTCTATAAACCAATCACGTGTTGTATCATCTCGAAACAATTCCTAAGAAAGAAAAATAACTTTTCACAACACAATAAAAAGGTCCAACAAAAGTGTGAACATGCACCACCACTTTACGGCTAAATGATTTAGACACAGTGCTCCACATACTTTCATTCTTTTTTACTTGACCTGATATTAGTGATATATGCATTTTTGTTTGTGGTGTCTGTGTGTGTATATTGTGTCCTGTCCGTAGGTTTGTCTTGTGTAATTGTGTGCTCCCCCCCCCTGCACTTTAACCCCTCTTTTCTGAATACTTCCCCTGTTTTACTAGGTGTAGCCTCACCTTTCAATGTCTTATATCCACACTTGTTTATTTATGTAAGCGAGAGAAATTCATCTCAATATGAATGAAATAAACTTACATCAGAAGCTAATCTAAGACAGTGAAGTTTAGCTAGAAATTCTGTATCTGATAAACACTGTGTCATCTCAGTCCTAAAACACATAGAAAAATCAACATATATCTGTTAGTTTTACTTGTCAGAGGAAGACCAATTTAGTTACCTTATAATAAGCTTATTTACTTTATATTCTTTTGATTTAGGAAAGTTTGTCATGACTGCTAATTGATGAACAAAAGAGAAATGTGAGATAACTGTTTGATTTTTAACAAGCGGTTGCCATGCAAGATACGCCCACATTTAGCAAGAGATCGACAGACAACGAGCTAAAAAAATGTGATTTTTTTGTATAAGCAGGGGCCATAATCTAGGAAGATATGTGCGTATATCGAAAGGAACTGAGATCTTTGGGTTATTAACGTACATTTCAAGTTTCATCCAAATCAGATAAAAATTGTGACCTGTAGAGGGTCCACAACCTTCGTATTACATACTTTTACACAATTTGCGTACATATAGCGGCCATTTTGTTGGGCAATTTCATTTCAATTTTCCCGAAATTCGAATTCAAACTTCATTATGGTGGAAAGGTGATATATTTAAATGTTTTTTAAAATCGGAAAAAAAATTGTGACCTCTAGAGAATCTGCAAGCTAAAAATGTGATTTTTCGAACAATCAGGGGTTATAATCCAGAAAGTTACATTCGGATATGCGCAATTATCAATAGGAACCAGGATCTTATTGTGTAACGGTGATATATTCACACGTTTTTTATACACCCACATTTTCATGTGGACGTATATTGTTGTCGCCCCTGTCCGTCCACAATTTGTCCGATTTTGACGAAACTTGAAATATAGGTTTATCCCCAAAAGATCTTGGCTGCTTGTGATATTGGCATGTATCGGATCGAAACTTCATGGATTAAGGCCCCTGTTTGTACGAAAAATCACGTTTTTAGCTTGTGGACCCTATAGAGGTCACAATTTTTATCTGATTTTGTTGAAACTTGACATGTAAGTTTATAACCCAAAGATCTCAGTTCCTTTCGATATTTGTGCATATCAGACCATAACTTCCTGAATTATGGCCCCTGATTGTACGAAAAATCGCGTTTTTAGCTTGTGGACCCTATAGAGGTCATAATTTTTATCTGATTTAAAAAAACGTATTATTATATCACCGTTACACCCTAAGGAAGGTTGAGTTTGAATTTCGTGAAAATCGAACCAAAATTGTCGGACAAAATGGCCGCCGTTTGTACGCGAATAGTGTAAAAATATGGTAAATCAAGGTTGTGGACCCTGTATGGGTCACAATTTTGATGAAACTTGAAATGCATGTTTATAACCTAAAGATCTCGGTTCCTTTCGATATATTCGCATATCGGATCGTAACTTCCTGAATTGTGGCCCCTGATTATACGTAAAATCGAGTTTTTAGCTCGTGGACCTTATATAGGTCATAATTTTTATCCGATTTAAAAAAATGTATTATTATATCACCGTTACACCCTAAGGAAGGTTGAGTTCGAATTTGGGGAAAATCGGACCAAAATTGCCGGACAAAATGGCTGCCATTTGTACACGAATAGTGTAAAAATAGGGTACATCAAGGTTGTGGACCCTATATGGGTCACAATTTTAATTCGATTTTGATGAAACTTGAAATGCATGTTTGTAACCTAAAGATCTTGGTTCCTTTCGATATTGTCGCATATCGGATCGTAACTTCCTGAATTATGGCCCCTGATTATACGAAAAATCGTGTTTTTAGCTTGTGGACCCTATATAGGTTATAATTTTTATCCGATTTAAAAAAACGTACTAATATATCACCGTTACACTCTAAGGAAGGTTCAGTTCGAATTTCCTTTCGATATTGTCGCATATCGGATCGTAACTTCCTGAATTATGGCCCCTGATTGTACGCAAAATCTCCTTTTTTAGCTTGTGGTCCCTCTGGAGGTCACAATTATTATCCGATTTAAAAAAACATTTGATTATATCACTGTTACACCGTAATGAAGGTTGAGTTCGAAATTTGTGAAAATCGGACCAAAATTGCCAGACAAAATGGCCGCCGCTTGTACGCGAATAGTGTAAAAATATGGTATATGTCAAGGTTATTTCACGAAATAAAAACTCAGCCGTCCTTAGGGTATAACGGTGATATATAAATATGTTTTTTTAAAATCGGATAAACAATATGACCTCTTTGGGTCCACAAGCTAAAAACGTGATTTTTCGTACAATCAGGGGCCATAATTCAGGAAGTTATGGTCCGATATGCGCGATTATGGACAGGAACCAAGATCTTTGGGTTATAAACTTACATTTCAAGTTTCAACAAAATCGGATAAAAATTGTGACCTCTATAGTGTCCACAACCTTGATATACCATATTTTTACGCTATTTGAGTACGAGGGGCGGCCATTTTGTCTGTCAGTTTTGGGCCAATTTTCACGAAATTCGAACTCAGTCGTCCTTAGGGTGTAACGGCCATATAATAATACGTTTTTTTAAATCGGATAAAAATTATGACCTCTATAGGGTTCACAAGCTAAAAACACGATTTTTCGTACAATCAGGGGCCATAATTCAGGAAGTTATGTTCCGATATGTGCGAATATCGAAAGAAACTGAGATCATTGGGTTATAAACTTACATTTCAAGTTTTGTCAAAATAGGATTAAAATTGTGACCTCTATAGGGTCCACAACCTTGATATACCATCTTTTTTACGCTATTTGAGAACGAAGGGCGGCCATTTTGTCTGTCAGTTTTGGGCCGATTTTCATGAAATTCAAACATAGCCGTCCTTAGGGTGTAACGGTGATATAATAATACGTTTTTTTAAATCGGATAAAAATTATGACCTCTATAGGGTCCACAAGCTAAATACGCGATTTTTCGTACAATCAGGGGCCATAATTCAGGAAGTTACGGTCCGATATGCGCGAATATCGAAAGAAACCAAGATCTTTGGGTTATAAACTTACATTTCAAGTTTGAACAAAATCGGATAAAAATTGTGACCTCTATAGGGTCCACATACCATATTTTTTCGCTATTTGAGAACGAAGGGCGGCCATTTTGTCTGTCAGTTTTGGTCCGATTTTCACGTAATTCGAACCCAGTCGTCCTTGGGGTGTAACGGTGATATAATAATACGTTTTTTTAAATCGGATAAAAATTATGACCTCTATAGGGTCCACAAGTTAACCAGCAGCTGCCAGGCAGGATGCGCCCACATTTTCGAGAGATGGATAGAGAACAAGCTAACAAGAAAGTGATTTTTCCTACTATCAAGGGCCATAATTCAGGAAATTACAATTCAATATGCTCGAATATCGAAAGAAACTGAGATCTTTGGGTTATAAACTTACATTTCAAGTTTCACCAAAATCGGATAAAAATTGTAACCTCTATAGGGTCTACAACCTTGATATACCATATTTTTACGTTATTTGAGACGAACGGCGGCCATTTTGTCTGTCAATTTTGGGCCGATTTTCACGAAATTCGAACTCAGTCGTCCTTAGGGTGTAACGGTGATATAATAATACGTTTTTTTAAATCGGATAAAAATTATGACTTCTATAGGGTCCACAAGCTAAAAATGCGATTTTTCGTACAATCAGGGGCCATAATTCAGGAAGTTACTTTCCGATCTGCGGGAATAACGAAAGGAACCAAGATCTTTGTGTTATAAACTTACATTTCAAGTTTCAACAAAATCGGATAAAATTTGTGATCTCTATAGGGTCAATAACCTTGATATACCATATTCTTACGCTATTTCACGAAATTCGAACTTAGTCGTCCCCAGGGTGTAACGGTGATATAATAGTACAGGTTTTTAAATCGGATAAAAATTATGACTTCTATAGGGTCGACAAGCTAAAAACGCGATTTTTCGTACAATTAGGGGCCATAATTCAGGAAATTATAGTGCGATATGCGCAAATATCGAAAGGAACCAATATCTTTGGGTTATAAACTTACATTTCAAGTTTCAACAAAATCGGATAAAAATTGTGACCTCTATAGGGTCCACAAGCTAAAAACGTGATTTTTCGTACAAACAGGGGCCATAATCCATGAAGTTTCGATCCGATACATGCCAATATCGAAAGCACCGAGATCTTTTGGAGATAAACCTATATTTCAAGTTTCGTCAAAATCGGATAAGAATTGTGACCTCTAGAGTGTCCAGAAACAAATTGTGGATGGACGGACGTCCGGACGGACAGGGGCGACGGCATAATACGTTCACATGAAAATGTGGGCTTATAAAAATGGACTTCCCGTGCACTTATCTATGGCGTTCATTTATTGGATGAGCCGTTGAATTTCCAGAGATGCGTATAAAAATGGACTTCCCGTTCAATTATCTAGGGCGTTCATTTATTAGACGAGCCATTGAATTTCCCGAGATATGTTACATCGTGTTTTGCCATGCTTCCCGCAAGGAATTCGCGAGAAGCTAGAGTCGAAATAATATTGTCTATAATTAATTGAAGGAGATGTAATACAGTAATGCTGCCGCGAAAACGTGTACATGTATAATGTACAGGCCGGTTTGAATAACAACAAAATGAGTTAGGTAATCTCGGGAAAACATTTACCGGCATTCTGTATCGGTTAGGATTTTTTTCTAACGCACTGTACATTCATATAACGTCGACCAAAATGTATGCAACAATGAACAACTTACAATTTTTTAAAACATATCATTACATCTTCGTCTATAACTTAGATGTAATCCATCAATTATTGGCTGCTATAAAATCCAAACTTTAAATTATATACGTCATACGATGAGCTTTTACACATTACTTGCAGCTTCAGTTAATCTAAATTTTGCCGGGAACTTCCCTTTACAGCACAGCTAGTATGACATTATGGGATCATCAGAGTACTGAATTTGTATAAGGGTTGACCACAAAAATTTCAATTCACTGATATTCATAGCAGACTGGGGACAGAATATCATGACCGTGTTAGTGCAAAAACAAAACAACGCTTCTCGACTTGGTGTATTATTACGCCATAAAAGTCTCAAGCCAGGCAGAAAATAGAAATTCAA